CGGGGCAACAACTCTCGCGAGCGTCTGGGTCCCGCAAACGACCACGTGAGAGTTATGGCAGGAAAAGCAGAAAAGCTGGATGCTGAAATTTTCCGAGAATGTTTGCAGCCTAGGTACAACTCGAAAATTTCAAATTTACTCCCCAGTTATGCGTGTCTTCCACATACGGCCCCGTAAAAGTTTTTTTTTTTTTTTTTTTGTTTGGGGGGTGGGGGAGGAGTAGGCGAAAATTGCAAGCTCAAGAACCAGAAAAGCTGAAATTTTGAGGGATTGTCCTGCGTCCACGTAGAACTCACGGATTTCTGATTCGGCCCCGAGGCGTGCGTAGTCCTCACGTATGGCCTCGTGAAGATTTTTGCCGAAAGAATAGCTAGCTCGGGAAACAAAAAAGCTGGAAAGCTGAAATTTTGAGGAGATATCCGAGTAGAACCCAAAAATTTCAAATTCAGCCTCCAGGCATAAGTGGTTTTCAGGTACGGACTGGTGGAAATTTTTGGCGAGAAACTCGGAAGCATTAACTCGGAAGCCAGGAAATCTCGGAGGCTGAAATTTTAAGGGAATGTTTTCGGCCCACGTAAAACTCAAAAATTTTAAATTCTGCCTTCAGCTGTGCACGGTTCTCACGTACGGCCCAATGAAAGTTTTTGGCGGGGAAATGCTAAGTCGAGAACCAGGGAAGTTAAAAAGCTGAAGTTTTAAGGGAATATTCCTAGCTCACGTTCTACTTGAAGATTTCTAACTTATCCTCAAGATGCGCATAGTTCTCACGTGAACCCGAACATTTTTGGTGGAAAAATTGCCAACTCTGGAACCAGGAAAGCTGGAAGGCTGAAGTTTTTGCGGAATGTTTCCTATCCAAGTACCACATAATTGCACAATTAACCTTCTGGACCTCGAACACTAGATGTCACAAATTCTAGCTACTGGGATTCCAAGCAGTCTTACAACAGCACGAAATGCTGCAAAAACGCATGATCACACGGGCCTGCCTGGTGCGCATCGCCAATGATTTCGATTTCCTAAATCATATTGTTTTTTGTTAGTGTTCTTTGTTTGTCAATGTATTTTTTCTATCAAAACAAAATTGCCATTCATTGCTGAAAAAATGCTTGGTTTGCCAGGATCGTGCGCAGGGAAACAGGCACGAAGGTAGTGAATCTTGGTTAAAGGGATCAGACATTGGGTACCGGCTCAAGATTTATAAGCTAAGCATTCTTCAAGCTGCGTATGCACTGTCTATAACGACTACTGCGTAACATGCGCAACTGTGTGATCCTGAGGATTAGCCAGCGAGGACCGTGGCTTAACAACTCCTCAGCTAGACCCGGCATTGATTTGTGCAGCTACAGTTGTCAATTCTTGTCCTTTACGCGTTAGCTTTGCTCTTTCTTCGGCCTAATCAGTGGGCTCTGGCGAGGTACCATCATCAGAAAGCGTTCTGACTGTACTAATTTGGATACGGATCCAGTGCAGCGTCGACTTGCGATCCACAAACTGTACTGCATAAATGTGCCAGTGTATTGTTCCTTCGGTGTAGTAGTTGCCAGAATTTGAGCATAGCCCTGTTCCGACAGCGTGTAGTTCGTTTCATCTTCCACCCAGGCCTGAAAATGAG